TGAGGGGCTTAAGGCTCTTCTTGATGGGCTTGAGGGTCTTCTGATGAGGCTGTCTGAAGGGGTTGAGGCTCTCTGATGGGCTGGGGGCTTGTCTTGATGGGCTTGAGGTTCCTCTTGAGGGTCTGAGGGATTCTCTTGAGGGGCTGAGGGATTCTCTTGATGGGCTGAGGGCTGGCCTTGAGGGGCTTGGAAGGTGATTGGGTGGACAAAGTTCTCAACTTGAGGGGCTGGGGGGCTGGTAGACATCTTTGAGGGGGTTTGGGAGGGGTGGTTGGTAGTTTGGGTTGGTTTTGGGTTTTGTTGAGGTGTGGTGGTTCAGGTGATGGCTCCTATGTTTCTGGGATCAATATCAGTTGATTCAAAATTGAGGTGGGAGTCAATGGTGTTAGTATTCATGTGTTCTCTTTTTGTCAGCGGCGGGTTACTCCGAGGTGACTAGAATCTGCTCGATGGAAGTTTACTGGTGTTGACCAGTGGCTCCAAGTCGTAGAAAGAATCTGATACGGTCCAAGGTGTTCACGCCCAGCCGTTGATAAGTTTTTGAGAATTTCAGGCTTGGATTTCCAGACAGGGATGCGATGATTTGAAGGGAACAGGCCAATTTGAAGTAGTGATGAGTTGATGTATCTCCAAATGGAAGAGGAATGATTTAAAATAAAAGGGTGTTATTATTTTTGTCTCTTCTGAAAGTCTGAGGAACAATCGACTTCAGTCCGTACAACTTTATATATCTGGCTTGGCAAGGCCAACTAGATACAAGCATATGTAGAGTATGTTAATAATGAAATGAGTGAAATGAATAAGAAAATGAGTGACATGAGTGTGAAATGTATGAAGTGCAGTTGGTGTAGCAAAATACTCAGTTGACTAGTTAAGGGGTAACTGTATTTTGCTTGCCAGCTGACACTTTTTCTTTCTCATTATTAGCATATCTCATGGCATACTCTTTGGTCATTATTAGAATTTTTGGTTGAATTTAAATCTCTGACTCCCATATCCCATGGCTGTTTGTCGAGGATTGACTCCCAAACAAACAGGAGATTCAAGTTTTTTTGAATAAATTTTGCTTGGGGTCCAACTCCCAACCCTGATGAGGGTTTTGGAGCTCTGACTCCCAAACTTTTGGGGAAAAGAAATAGGGGGACTGGAGTTCCTGGCCCTGTTTGCCATGCGGTCCTCCCGGCATCCCAAAGATTTGGGAGTTGGAACTCCAATTTTTGGGAGCCAGAACTCCCAATTTTTGGGAGTCAGAACTCCAATTTTTTGGGAGTCAGAACTCTAATGTTTGTTAGTTGGTTAGCAAAGACCCTAAAATTATTTAGCAGCCAACTGAATTCCCCCACTGCATGAATGGGAGTAACAACTCCCAAGCTTTAGGGGGGGGGCAGAAAATTGGGGCTGGGGATGTCCTGAGATGGTCCCCAAGTGTCAACTCCCAAATTTGGGAGTCAATCAACCAAGGCCCTCTCTTTTTTTATTTTACTCATCTGGGGTCCTTGAGCTCTCACTTTTTTTTTGGAGGCCAACAAGGGCCCTGCTTCCCAAATTCCAAGAAGAAAAAAAATCTTGGAATTAATTGTGAGGTTTTCATTTAAAGTGACCAAAGAAGTTGACAGAGCCCACACACTGGAGCCAAGATGTTGCAACAATGGTTGCCACAGTTTGTGAAGCACTCTTTGCAGTGCACAAGCTAGGACTGTCAAATAAAACTAATCCCCTGAGGTGTTCTTCCTGCAAAGAAATTGACTCACTGAGATCAATAAGTGTATAAACTGTTTCTCTGAATCCCCAAATGCTGCATATCTCCATACCAAACTAGATTTTGATAGGAATTAGGGGCCATCCCATTGATTAACCTTCCACTCCAGAGCAATGGTTTTTTTTTTCACCCATTGAGATATAATCAGAATGATGATTTAATTCTGGCCGAGATGGCAAGAGCACATGGAAAATAATTAGCAGATCAAGCGCTAGGAAACAAGTCAAGAAGATGAGTAGAGCGAGTAGTAGGAGTAGGAGGAGTTGCAAGCTGCTTCCATCGATGCTTGCACAACTTGTATCTTTGAGGGGTATCGTCAGTGGTCGGGACATTGATGCAGAAGTGCTTTCCACATTGCTCCCTGGTGCATTTCAAGATTTTCTTGTACCGCTCGTTCTGACAGACCGAGCCGTCGGGTAACTGGTCCCCGTAGTATGTACCCACATCGATCGACCGTGGGAGTGCCTTCGACATCTTTACCAGAAGAGCGCCCACAACTGACACATCTGGGCAGGAGCGGGGCTCTGGAGAAGCCCGCAAGGAGAAGAGTTACGGCAAGGGTGTAGAGGATAGTGGTAGTGAGTTTCATGTTTCTTGAATCTTTCTGGTGTTTCGACGAGCCGAGAGTTCTGGAGTCGGCGGTTGGAGTCGAAATTGTGTTGGGTTGGTGAGGTGGTTAAGTTATAGGGAGGGTGTTTGCTGACCGTTGTCCTACTATGAGGATGTTGCGTCGGTTGACTTTGCTGGGTGCGGCTGCAATGCCGATGGCCAGGCCGCCGTCCACGCCGGGCTTACGTAATTGAGCGCCGAATCCGGAGCGCTCCTCCGGCGTCAGCGCCTCTCCGGGATTCAACCAGAAGCTCACAGCCACAGCCACGGCCATTCCACCCTCTCCCACAACCTCGACGGCCACTTTCAAGATGGCACAACTCATCATCACACAGACTCGGAGGCACATCGCCGCAAGACTACAACAACCCAAGCAGCAACCACAGACGAGCCTCCGAGGACTATCGAGATCGACCAGGAATCTTGGGCCGAAGAAACCGACGACCGACAAGAGCTCATCAACAGAGGAAGCCGAAGACGAGTACCACCACTATCCAACGACTCACACTACAGCTACCACCGACTCTAGTGCCGGGCTACTCCAAAACCCTTTCCTGCATGACCCCGCATACATCAAACGATATCGGGACCCATCCCGGCATGACAGCTACGAGATCCGAGACCACCACCACCCATACAGCTTCCGCATCCGGCCCACCGCCACCCAACAGTCGCCTTCGACCTCGATCTCCTCGCCCGCAAGGAAGGCCCGACTCAGCATGGAACAGTCCTGGCTCTCCCCCTCGACCTGTCACCATCATCCTAGTTCCCATCCAGACCCGCTGGGGAGCAATGGCCGTCCCGATAACCTGGCGATCTGTTTCCCCGGCTCTAGCTCTCAATACATCGGCATGGGTTCCTTCTTAATCGATCATAAAGAATTCAATCTCGTCTGGACTGAAGCACTCGACCACCTCGCCTCGTTCGAAGAATGGATGAAATCCCTCAACCTCGTCGACCATTTCCTCACCCTCGGCTACTCCCCTCAACAGGCCGCTCTTCTCGGCTCTCCTCCTCCTGCCTCTCCTACTCTTGACCAGCCAAACCTTCGCGATATCGTCTTACATGGCCCTCAAAACGAACTCAGCAGATGCTCGAATGCACAGCCTGCTATCCTAATCACTAGCATGGCCTATCTGAGGACATTAGAGGTATATATTAATCTCTCACATAAAAAATACCTCAGAGAAAAAAATAGAAACTGATGGATTTATTTTAATACATTTAGGTTGAAGGGAAAGTTCCAGTGAGGAAGATGGCCAAAGTCTATGCGGGACATTCGTCAGGCGAATACACGGCCTGTGTGGCCTCGAACGCGATCGACTTCAAGAGCGGGATCCATCTGACACGATTGTATGGATTGTTGAGCGAACGGTCGATGCGGTTGGCCGGCCTCTCAGCCTCCACAACCGCCCCCAAACTAAAAACAACAAAAGAAGGAGAGCAGGAAGAAGGAGAGGAAGGAGGTGGGGGGACGAAATCGCAGATGTCAGCCTTACTAATCAACGAGAAATACCAGGCCTCATTAGGCCAAAAGACGTATGATTACCGGGAATTGATCGGGCTTGTCGAGCGGTTCAATATGCTCTATGCGACCGATGAGCGCAGGAGGAGCGCTTATCGAGTCCAGATAGCTAGCTTCAACTCGAGCAACCAGATCGTTCTCTCGGGCACCCGGCCTGGCGTCTTGGCCGCGTGTGCGTATCTCAACGAACTCGAGATTGCGAATCGGGCCGCCGACTTGCCTTGCTCGTAAGTCCCCCCCTCCCTAATTTCCATACCCACCCATACACGAAAAAAAGCTGAAAGATTTTGGATCGGATGTGTGGACGTGGATGTGACCAAAAGCTCACCGTTCCATAGTGAATTCATGAGTCCAGCGGCCCAAGGAATGAAGGTCGCAGTCAACGCGGTCCGGTTCGCCGTCCCGGACCGGCCGATCCTGGTTACCCGAAACTGTCCCCTCTCAGCCTGTTCGCCAACAAGATCCTCCTCAGTAGGATCCACAGAATCCACGGAGCGACGGAAGCGCAGGAAGACGGACTCGGGCGAGGCGGTGATGGAGACTGCCTACATCAGCACCCGCGAGGACCTCGGAAGCCTTCAAACTCATCTCGCTGAGTCGATCTGTAGACCCGTCTGGTGGGCCGAAACCGTCAATGAACTTCTGCTTCCACATCATAACCTTCTTCTTCATCCTTCTTCAAACTCAGAGTCAGAATCAGAACCGGACTCTTCTCATTCGAATCTTCAATTGCTCTTCGTCGGGCCTGGAAAAGCGCTCTCCAACCTCTGCAAGAAACAGATCGCTTTCAACGCCCTGCATCCTCCTCTTCCCTCTCTTCCCACCCACAATCTCCTATCGGCTCAATCTTCTCACCCTCAAGCTCAGCCTTCTCACAAAGTTATCACCCGTAGCTTGGCTACTGTCGATGATTTTAACGCTTTCAGACTCTCTTAACCTCTCGGCTTTCTTTCGCTTTTGTCTCTATTCTATGATTTGGTGTTGTAGCTCATTCAGATTCTTCATTTGTTTGTTGACTTTTTAATGCCTCGTTTTTGATTCTTCTCCTCATCTTGCATTTCGTTTTTCCTGTCACATTTCAAATCATCTTCGTCTTTCTTTTGCTTTTCTCTTTACTCTTATCACTCATGTTTACTTTTTTTTTATTATGATTTTCCTCTACATAACATTTTTTTCATGTTATCATGTAATCTATGTATAGAATAGAAAAGAAAGTTCGTTTTTTTTTTGAATGTATTTTATCTCCCTCTTTTTTGGTATTGGTTGTTGTACGTGTTCAGAGTGTTGTTGTATCTTCTTACATGAATTGTACTAAATCAACATATCAAAGTTTCTGGTCATTCAAACACAAGAATGAAAACAAATGAACAAATGAAAGAAAAAGAGGTTGATACCTGATTGATAAAAACCGCTGCTTGAGAGAGGTAAAGATCTGATCAAATAGTTGAGAAAACAAGTTAGATTTCCAGGTTTTTTTTTCTAAATGTTAAGATTCACAAGAGATCGCAAGCAGAAATAAAAAAAAAAGAAAAAAAAAGTCAGGCATGACATACACCCATAAACACGAAGGTTTTATAAACTGACAAGATCTATAGAAATTAAGTATTTCCCATTCCCCACAACGATAATAAAAAAAAAAAGAAAGGAGATGAAGGAAATTTATTTCATAGTTTTGAACGTTTCTTCGGTAGGAATGGCTTCTTTGGGATGTTTAGCTTCATAATGAGTGACCAAAAGTTTGTAAGAGGGGGTCGGAGCTTTACATATCGAGCATCCGACCTACGACCGATTATATAGATTTTGAGATTCGCAACCGTCAGATGATCGACGAAAGCCGATTTCGAGGAAGGTTTTGGTTTTGGTTTTTTTTTTTTGATTGATTGGTTGATGAAATATATGAAGAACGAGAAGAAAGAGCTGGATCAGAACTGGAGTGTCCTCGAAAGAAGCGCATTTCCAGGAGCAAGGAATGGCTTGCCTTGGTGACTGCTTGTTGGGCACCTAATTGGGAGCCCTTTTGCGAGCCCTGTTTGGCCGCGTTCTTGGCCCTGTTTCACAAACGAAATACAGATCGATCGAGAATTAGGATCGCCCTGGCCCACATGTCCAGATTATTATGGCTTAAAAGCGGAGCGGAGAGTCGTCGGATTTTCGGGATCTTTCTATGGTACTTAACTGTGCTTGCGCCTACAAAAAAAAAAGAAAAGAAAAAGAAAAATAAGATTAGAAATCTGTTTGTGGGTATGTTCCAGTTAATAGCCTCTTGATTACTTACCTTAGCGTGTCCTCGGACCATTCCTCCGTTGATTCTGGGAGTGTTATTCTTGACTGTATAGTCGTCGTTCCGTCTTCGAGTGGTAAGTAAGTCTTCAGTTGAGACTGCTGGTCTTGATGATGATGGTGTTTGAACAGTTTCGGAAGTGATGATTATCTGGGTCAGGCCAGCTTCGGGAGGGGTCGGGTATTTTCCGGCGGGGCCTCATGCTTCCCGGGGAGTCCGGTCTCTCAGAATCAGATACCCGGTCAGCATTTTCTTGTCTCACCACAACCTTCTAATTTTTTTCAAGCACCTTCACCTCACCATCGTCAGAAAAATTTAGGTATTTTTGAGCATAAACATGTTCTCCGGATCGAGAGGACGAGGAAGAGGAGGGAGCAGGAGTAGCAGAACCACAGCAGCAATCGATCCGGATCGGACCGTTAGGGAGACTGATATCGACGCTTCTGTCGCCCGATTATCCGCGATCTCTAAAAACTACATCCAAGAGTTGAGTCCAAACTCTCCCTTTCATTTTTTCTCTCTTGTTCCCATAATTGATGAAATGAACAAGAATGATTAAGTGAAAGAGTATTTTTTTTGTTTTGATTACAGTGAATATGCGGAGTTGTTGATGTCTTGTCAATACGGGGGGAGTCAAGAGATGATGATCAGAAGACCGCCATGGGTGAACATAGGAACGCATCATCGAACATACCTGATCGACGAGCTAGTCTCCAGCTTCTTAGGCCCACCCAATCACAATCAACAGGAACAAGAAGGAGAAGCAACGACGAAACAAGTGCTCTCGCTAGGCGCAGGAAGTGATAGTCGGTTCTGGCGTCTCAAGAGTCGCTTTGATCGAGAGAATCATAATTGGCCAAATGGTCGATGGGTCGAAACCGATCTGCAACCAACAGTGACAACCAAGATTGAAAAGATCGTGTCGAGCGAAAAGCTGAGGCAAGTCTGTGGGGAGGACCCGATCGTGCTAAGGTCCGACGACCCCGACCCTACGTCTTCTTCCGGTGAGTTCTCTCTCTCTCTTTATATCTCCCCGGAAAACACCACAAAAAAAAAGAAGAAGATTCTAAGAAGAAAGAAGGATTGAGGTGGTAGTGTAGATCGGCCTCCGACCGAGCTCCACAGTCCGCATTACTCCCTCCTCTCAACCGACCTGCGTCGGCCGACGGAGCTGGTCGCCAAACTCAGCGGCCCCGATCCGACTTCGACCACAAGTGGACACTCGCTCCTATGTCCTGAAACACCCACCCTGATCATCGCCGAACTCGTCTTTCTTTACTTATCCCCTACCCACACGCATGCTTGTCTGCAATCTCTGGTCAACTATTTCCGTGGTCCGTTGATGATCATTTGTTATGAGGCGCTCGATCTGGAAGATAATTTCAGTAAGATGATGGTTCAGAACCTTGCTGTTAGTTCCGCTTCCCCTCTCTGCGTCTCGCTTTTCCTCGCCATTCATTCTCAGTTAATCTGATTCTTCTCTTTTGTTGATTGGGTTGGATATGTGTACATAGACTCGAGGATTAAGTATGGCGGGATTCGAAGCGAATCGGTCGATAGATTCGCAGATCCAACGGTTCAAGGAGCATGGGTTTACGGAGATTGTGTGTACGGATATCAAGGCTTTACGCACCCGTTCTTTCCCAGGAAATCAAAGGGATGGAGATCCAGATGAGGAAGAGGGGGAAGGATGGAAGGCTAGATGGAGTGCTGAGTTGGATAGGATTAGGAAACTCGAGTTCTTGGATGAGGTCGAGGAACTGGAATTGATCTTGCTCCATTATGCGCTCTCTTGGGCTCGAAAGAATTTCATTCTACCTTCTTCTTCTTCTTCGTCAACTACTAATGCTACTACTAAATCTACTGTTGGCTTCTATTTACCCAAGTTTTGAGTTTTGTTGCTTGCATTTTGTATTCATTAAATTAGTTGAATTCTATTCATAAATTTGTTACACCATTATCAATAATACTTCCTCTTCAAGTCTCCCATATGTCTTGATAGCATTAGATGCTTTATTTGAAATCTTTATCTGGACCATTCATCTCTGCTCTAAGCTTGGAGACTTACATGATTCTCCTCAACTCTCAAGCTCACATTTCCAAATTTTTGGGATTTGTAAACCTGATTTGGTCCTCTGCCATCTTTTTTTCTGTTGGTTCTTGTTCTGCCCTTGTATCCTGCCACACTGGTTTTCTTGGGGTTCTGTTTTTCTCGGTTTGTATCTCCCTGGACCCTTGTTAGATAAGTCGGTACCATTTATAGTTTGTATCTACTCATCAAGTGTGCATTTGTCTTCTATCATGTCAAATATGTAAGCTCCCTTAAAATAAAACTAGCTTCCAAATAAACCTTATTTAAAATCTTCAAAACTCAATTTAGCACAATCAAGTGTACTAGACAAAGGCACAGTGTTCCATGCTTCTTTGCAGTTTCAAATAATTGGAAAGAAAAAAATGTTATGGTAGCGGTTTATAGGAATTGCAGGTCAAGAGCAAATCCAGTATTTGACCTCATGTACTATGCCATTTAGCACGATCACATTCAATTAATTCATGTTTTTCTTTAGGACAGCCGTTGTCCGTAAACATGTATGCTTTCACAGCTTCGTCTTCTTTGCACTTGGTACAATATCGGACTAGTGCAGGCCGGAGTTGACCGCATTTTGCATGTTTCCCAAATGAGCAGAAATACTCAACATCACAAGGGTGCTCTCTCTCCTCACTTTTCCAGAGAGAGACATCATGGCATTCTTTGATCTCAGCCTTTTCTGTCCCAAGCACCAAGGTGTGGAGTAAGGTTATGATGATCCAACTGGACTTGAAGTGATGCATGTTTGGGGTGGCTGTGTATATGGGGCTGTTGGGCAGATTGGATGTTTTAAATATTGAGTGTGAACATTGTTGACAATGAGGTTTGAACCCAGATGGGGGCTGATTGATGTATCAGTGTCAAGCACTTTCTGATACCAATGGGCCACAAAAGGGGTAGCTGAACCACATAAAATTACAATTAAAAACAGGTCAAGCTGCATAAACCATTTCAGATTTCACTATAGCAAATGAGCACTGGTCAAGAATACATAAGCCCCCAACCACCCACCAACAGGAGTGTGCTTGGCATCTAAATTTCAAGAAAAAAAAATGTGCAAGAGGCTTGAGTCTAAAATAAAGTACCCTTTGTCCTATATCATTTAATTTGGTTTGTGGATCATTTTTAGGTGCTCGCCATTTCCCAGCCCCTGACACCAAACAACCATCAACAGAAATTTGTTGGGAGTTGTTTGTCCAGATGGATGGCTGGATCTGGGAGTCAGCCATTGAAATATGATTTCTTCTTGTTTTTAAGGGAGGTGCCTGTCTAAAGCTCCGCTAACGCATTGGGGGGGGGGGGATGAGTTGCTACCACTTGACATGCAGATAGTCTTTCTGGAGGAAAGATTTCCTTACAATCAAAGAGGTACAAATATCTCACTGACCAGAAGGATTTCCTTCAATGGGGACAAATCTCAACCCATGCCCCCCTGCATGTGGGGAAATCAAAATAAACTCTTGTGCAGCAACTCAATTTCAGGGGTTAGAACCAGTGCTAGTCCAGGGACTTTCAAGTGGGCCAATTTCTTAGAGAAGAAAGAAAATGTAGACAGGCAAGCACTTCCAAAGGGGCTGTATCAGTTACAACCCCTTGCAGTAATGTTGGCTGGAGATGGCCAACATGACATAGGTCTCCAGAGCAGGTCCAATTTTATTTTGGCTGGGCCCACCACCACATTGCAACAAAGGGGCCACACATTGGTGGGCCCAGCCAACATCAAATCTGTCAGGAAGATGTATGTTATATTGTCCGGCTCCAGCCAACATTACCCAGGGGGTTGTAAGCAATACAATCCCTTTGGCTGTGAAGGATACATATAAGGGATAAGATTTTGTTAAATAGATGACAATGCTCAAAATTATTGGCATAGGAAATTTGGCTTGAAATGAAGAACATAGGTTTTATAGACAGAACTACAAGGGTTTGGGCAGAAGGATTACAAATAGGGGAGTTGTTTTGGATCTGTCAATGCTGCTTTTGATTTTCCACTGCCAGGAATCAAGTTCCATTGAGTCTAAGGTACCTGCATTAATCAAACTCAGTGACTAATGACTATGTTATTCTCACTGTCAGATCATTATTGTGAGTCTTGGAATAATTTCAGATTTTTGGTGCCTGTGTCCATAAACAGTTTTTTTTAACAGAGAATCATCCAAGACAAGAGAAAATCGATGGTCTGAAATAAAATTTTAGCCTCTATCAGTTTAAATTATTTTTGGAAACCTATTCATCAATAGATGAAAATTTTGGTAAACAAATTGATTGCTTTGGTTCAAAATCAATATGAGGCAAAAATTTGGAAACCTGATATGATTTCATGGGGTGAGTTGTTGGCTGATTTAGGAGGAAATTTCTCATAGTATGAATTTAATCCACCTTGCCCCCTGAATGAAAATATCTTTGGATGGTCAAAAGGACAGCATTCCTTTCAAACACATTGCCCACATATTTGGCATGGTATGTTGATCATGATGGGGTCCAACTGGTCTTGCGAGTTCGATATTGGTCAATTTTGATTTTATTAAAGTAACTAGGAAGAATACCAGAATTATTCATCCAGGAGCAACTATCAGGACCAGACTGTATCATACCTGCCAATGGAAAAAAAGATATATTTCATTATTCAATACATTCTGGTAGTTAAGCAAAGGGAATTGCAATAAGGATCACCAAGCGGCCACCATTTTCAGGTACCCGGCACCCGTGAGCAGCCCATCACATAGGGCAGGTACCCGCCTATGGGGGCTGTCCCTGGGTCCGGGTGTCTGAATTTGAGTAAAAAACAAACAGGTGCCAGGTTATATGTAGGTATTACCAGCCCTTTAGGTGGATACTTGGGCCGCAGAAATGATATCTAGATCAATAACAAGACGACGGGGTGTACACAGGCGCCCGCCGGTGGGTGCTGTGTACAGGTGGATGTCGGCGATAATTGCGAAAAATACCAAGGCTACTCGGTCACGCTGCGGTTACCCAGGTTCACATGGCGAGCTTGACACTATGAACTAGTTTAACATCATGAGCAGGTGGATCTTATTGAAGACTCAGAGGCAGACTGGGGAGCCCCAGAGAGGGTACTCTTTTTGAATATAGCATCATAAAATTCTCAAGGTGAATCAAGTCAAACATAACAGTAACGCTGATTGTATTTCAGGGAATGCTAACTTGTTGGCAAAACAAGATTTAGATTGATGATCTAGCACTAGCGGTGAATCTTGGCCACCAGGAGCTTATTCAGATTGAGGTGGAAGGGCCGTGTGGTTTTGGAAGAGAATTAGGGCCCTACAGTTTGGACAGGTGGGGGGTCCAGGGAACGAACTTTGTAACCAGCCCTGTAGGATGCAAAATCAAGTCAGATGTGAAGCACAGGAAGTGAATAAAAGAAAGGCCCCTCACATGAATACAGGATAGGTGAAAGTGATGCGTTGGGTGACATGGTAGTACCACAATTTCATCGCTGGAAGCGTATTCCTCTAAGCAGATTGTGCACTTCATGGAGTCGTGCAGTGGGACATCTGAGGCAAGAGACGACAGGCTAGTAATGGGCAAGCTATCAAGTAGGTAACCAATGTGTAGCGCGGCTACGTCGATATGATCACTGTTGACCATCAACCGCCCAATCTCCTGAAATGCATTGGAATTAAATTGTTCAATCATATTGGCAGTTTCGGGGGGTAAGCTGGCCAGAGTTCGGCGAAGTTCCTCGAGGTGAAAGAAGTATCCTTGCAGTACTGCCATGGGATCGTTGCTCTGGACAGAGTTGTTAGCGAGCTCCCGTCGGACTGTAATAGTCCTATTCTCAAAATTTTCGACGACTCGTCGTTGTTCGGGAGTGAGAGTTTGCAACATTTGTTGCCAGGGGTTGGCATCAATCTGGTGAGGTTCACCGGCGACAATTGCTGGCATGGCTTCAAGATGACGGATGAGTGCTAGGGCATTTTGCGCAACAGCAGGTTCGTCTTGCGCATCGGGAAGTCTGGGGGCACCCTCCTCGTCTAATTCAATCTCGGTGGGGCCTTGAAGGTTTGCGAGGAGGGCCCTAATGGTGCCGTTGAGTTCTTCAGGCAATTGTATCCAATTTCCCTCCCCAAAATGCTCGGCATGGGGGGGCAGGTGGCGTTGAGGGGTGGCGGGGGCTTCATCGTGCTCCTCGTGGAGTTGTGGTTCCAGAGCGGAGGCCTGGGGCTCAACAGATTCTTCAACAGGTAGGACGCCGCCAGGGCTTGGTCCGGGTTGGTCAGCAGCAGATTCCGAGTCGCTGGATGTGGAATTGGGGGTCATTGTGTTGGTGAATTAGGCTGGCGTGTGGGGCTGTGGGGCGAGTTATCCGTGAGGAGCGATTTTTGGGATGAAGCTGTGAGGGGATGGGGAGAGAGGCCTGGTGAGGATGAAAAACGAAACCCTTTATATAGCCACCACGACTCGGTGGAGCTCAGCTCTTCTTGAGCTGTGTCAAATGCATTTGACACAAAGCCTTTTCCAAATTGCAAGATTGGAAAGCAAATTGTTCTCTTTGAAAGAATACGCGTCACAAGGGGAGTGTGAGAAAAATGAGCCAAACCAAGGAACATGAAACTATGGAGCGATGCCTTTTGAGTATGTACATTTTTGCGGAACATAATCCAGAATGGGCTACTATTCCATCTGGCCTGAGTCTTTTCCGTGGCTGAAATTCCTCTTGTGACGCGTCTGTTTTCAAATGGAAGCATTCACTCGGATGAAGCTAGCGTATGTGCTTTTTGGAAACAAGCATTCAAGATGTTTGCTATTGCGCTGCAAATCAAACACCCAGAAGTGCCTGCAACTTTTGCTGCCGGCCGACTTCCGAGTCAATGTAAATGAGCTTTACTGGCCCCGGAGATATAGCCTCCTCTTGCCGCTCGGCAGACTAAGGCGCAACACAGCACGAGGCATCGTCAGCTTACCAGACATTCAAGATGAACTGGTCACGTTGAATCACCGCCGGAAGGAGGACCAATTCAGAGCTCGCAGCTGCTCAATCCTGGAACTCATTGGGTTTGTGGCTTCTGGTGGCCAAGATGGAACGCTACTTGATGTTTCCAGACTACAGCATGGGCTTTTTGGTGAGCAACCAATAACTGCTCTTGCTGTAGTAAATTCTCATTAGGAAGCAGTAACGTAGATCTTTATTAGGGGGCATCTTTCCGCATAAACTGGCACTGAACATGTCTTCCCCAATGTGAATCTGTAAAAGAAAGATACCAACGTCTCGAGAACACTCACATAGAGTAAGTATCAAAAGAAACGGAGGAAATTGGGAAGTAAGACTCGAAAAAACAAATACAATCACCGGGTCCGATAGATTCATGAGAAATGAAGTTAGAAAAGAAAAGAAGTAGCATGATAAAAAAATGAAAGAGACAAGCCGAAAGGGAAAAAATGCAACAGACAGCCCAAGACTACTGAATAAAATAAAATAAAAAACCGAGATAAAAAGAACGCTAGAATTCAACTTCGGGGCAAGACTATTTTTAATCTTATCAGGGTATCAGACGAACCGTGTTTTTGATTCATCTTTTCTAAGTTGACATTGGATCTCTCAATGTCGCTCAGTGAGTGAGCATACCCCAGACAGTGAAGACATTCAAATGAGGCGGGAGTCACGATTGTGACTCATCTTTTCTAGGTAGGTATTGGATATGTCGGGTGTGGCTGATCAATGTATATACCAGATACAGTCAAATGGAGCGTGTTGCGCTTTGCCGCGTTTTAGATTCAAAATAGGTAAAATTCATCACCATAATTTATTCGTAAGGAAAGTAGGGAAGCATTACAAATTCAAATTCAATACTACAATTAAAAGGGTACAAGAAAAGACTATCATCAACACCCATTCAGGCCGGGGGTTCCGCCAGAGGTGGTAGCTCAACTACAGCTCGGCAGTGAGGGCAGCCTGGGCTTTGTTCAAGCCAGGGCTACAGAGGAATTGGATTGAAGTGGTCAGCGATTAATTGTGATAGTCGAGGGTAGGAAACATTGCTTACTTGGATGCATTGTTGGTGAAAAACGTGGGTGGGATGACATGGAAGCTGGATAAGAGTAGGTTCAGCGAGAATGAGATCATCGTTACAAACCACGCATTCCAAAGCATTGCCGTCGGGGTTCAATGGCAAAGCAGCGGGGTCAGTGATGATAAGAGTTGGCATGAGTTGTTGGACTTGGCGTCGTCGCAGTTCATAGGCAGTAGCTCGAGCTTCTTCCAGGGGCCCAATCAGCATCATCCACAGAAATAAAATATGGTACAAAGGTTGAGCGACGGCGTCATCGAGTTGGGCCAAGGCCTCATCGATTTCAGGCTGATCACCAAAGTAGAGATCGCGTTCCTCCGCATCGAAGCGGTCCCGGATTGGGTTGTCGGCCAATGCTTCGTAAGCAAGTTGTGAAGCATCGAAGTGACTGCGAAAGAGGTATTCATATTCTGGCGTGAGGTGCGACAAAGCCTCTTCCGTTAGAGCTAACATTTCTGCGTCCATATTGTATATTTATTAGATTGGTTTCTTTTGTTGGAGTGGCTCTTGGGGGGATAAGTTTAGAAGGGAAGGCGAGGGATGGGATGAGATAGAAGCTGGAGCTGGGAAGAGGGATGGTGCGGCTGGAAGAGTACGTCTCTTTATACCTTTCATCAATGCTGAGCCTTAATGCAGCAGCACTTGTAGTAGGGCTGGCGGTTGAAGTGCTGAGGACTCGTGCTACTTGCATCCTTTGTCTAGACTGCTGCAGAGGAGGCTCAGCTGAATAGATGCTACAATTCAGGTATCTGAGCAAACTCCGGTACGTATGTAAAGTGATCATGTGTGAGTAGCTCTACTACATCTCTCCGTTGCTGAGCCTTTTGCTCCAAAAAAAAACTTGCTTGCCTCACTGGTATGGCTTCTGCCAAAGCAAAGAATTTAAGATTGATTGGGCTACAAAATAGGCGCGAAATCATCTTTCCAGGTTGTTCTTTATGATTAAAAAAAAAAAAAAAGAACTCGCCGAAGTGAAGCCTTGCTCTTAATGTAATCCTAGGCAAAGTCAATTTAACAAGCCATTTGAGAGGTAAGATTCACTTGTTTTTCCTGGAAAGACAGGAAGAGTCTAGCTAATGGTTTCCGAGGATTGACAAGTCCTGTGCCAGTGAGGAAGTCATCAGAAAGAGGCGTGCCTTCCGTGGCCGCGGCTCAAAAGAGATAATTTTTGTTTTCGATTGCACAACGGCTAACCCATGCTAGCCATCAACCCACACCAACGTTGGCGCAAGCAGTTCGGTCGGCCATCCGGAATGCTCACGCCAACGATACAGAAACTTTCCGGGTGGCTATTGGTATAAGCCTAATTGCAAAGCTTGTATTCTTAGACATGCAGATCCATCAAATAAAATGAGGAAAAAACCCTATCGATGGAGTGGAACTTCCGACGCTTATAGTCAGTGGAGGGCGCGCCTAAATCCTTGGTTTTTGCGCCCTGGACGCGTGTCGACGCGTTTGAGACACTGGCACCGAAGACGCGACTGTTTGGAACAGCTTTCCCCTTCTTTGAATGACAGCTTGAGGCTCAGGTAAAGTAAGTGGTGTGGGCATCGGCTTGGTAAGCTGACTCCAGCCCCGCCCGCTTGGAGAGATGACTGAGCTACGGAATAAATTAAGGTCGGCTCCATGGGCTAACCGACTCTGTTCAATCTCACAAATAAATGCATGATCATACTCAATCTACCACGACTATTAAGATCTCGCCAAGATTGCTGTCTTCAGTTCAAGGCTTGCTTTTTATTTTACCAGTTCTTCAGACAACTCACATTTGTGATTAATCTTTTCTAGGTAAGTATTGAATCTTTCTGGTGTAGCTGATCAATGTGAATACCAGATACAGTCAAATGGAGCGCGTTGCGCTTTGCCATGTTTTAGATTCAAAGTAGGTAAAATTCATCATCATAATTTATTTGTAAGGAAAGTATGGAAACATTATAGATTGAAATTTAATAATACAATTAGAAGGATACAAGAAAAGACTATCATCAACACCAGTTCAGGCCGGGGGGTCCGCCAGAGGTGGTAGCTCGACTACAGCTCGGCAGTGAGGGCAGCCAGGGCTGCGTTCGAGCCAGGGCTACAGAGGAATTGGATTGAAGTGGTCAGAGATGAATTTGATAATTGAAGGTAAAAAACATTGCTTACTTGGATGCATTGTTGGTGAAAAACGTGGGTGGGATGACATGGAAGCTGGATGAGGGTAGATTCAGCAAGAATGAGTTCATCGTTACAAACCACGCATTCCAAAGCATTGCCGTCGGGGCTCAATGGCAAAGCAGCGGGGTCAGTGATGGAAAGAGTTGGCATGAGTTGTCGGACTTGGCGTCGTCGCAGTTCGTAGGCAGTAGCTCGAGCTTCTTCCAGGGGCCCAATCAGCATCATCCATAGAAATAAAATATGGTACAAGGGTTGAGCAACGGCGTCGTCGAGTTGGGCCAAAGCCTCATCGATTTCAGGCTGATCACCAAAGTAGATATCGCGTTCCTCCGCATCGAAGCGGTCCCGGATTGGGTTGTCGGCCAATGCTTCGTAAGCAAGCTGCGACGCGTCGAAGTGACTGCGAAAGAGGTATTCATATTCTGGCGTGAGGTGCGACAAAGCCTCTTCCGTTAGAGCTAACATTTCTGCGTCCATATTGTATATTTGTTAGATTGGTTTCTTTTGTTGGAGTGGCTCTTGGGGGGATAAGGTTAGAAGGGATGGCGAGGGACGGGATGAGATAGAAACTGGAGCTGGGAGGATGAATGGTACGACTGGAACCGTAGGTCTCTTTATACCTTTCATAAATGCTGAGCCTTACTGCAGCAGCACTCGTAGTAGGGCTGGCGGTTGGAGTGCTGAGGACTCGTGCTACTTGCATCCTTTGTCTAGAGGAGGCTCAGCTCAATAGATGCTACAATACAGGTATCTGAGCAAACTCCGGTACGTATGTAAAGTGATCATGTGTGAGTAGCTCTACTACATCTCTCCGTTGCTGAGCCTCCAGCTCAAATTCTTGCTTGCCTCGCTGGTATGGCTTCTGCCAAAGCAAAGAATTCAAGGTTGATTGGGCTACAAAATAGGCGCGAAATTATGTTTCCTAAAGAAATTCGCCGAAAGAAAGCCTTCCTCTTATTACTAGGCGAACTTGAGGCGCAAAACTGTCTGATCAGAATCTACCTAGTAATTTGAGACTCAAGATTCACTCGATTCTCCCGGCAAAACAGGAAGAGCCTAGCTTATTCTTTCCTAGGATTGCGGAGCCTTGTGCCGGTGGGCAGGAATCCCCCGGCAGGACGCAAACCTTCCGTGAACAGACACCGCTTGTGACCAGTGACGTGAATTAATCTCAGCGCTTTCAAGCTTCCTCTGAGTCTGATTTTTGATTCTGAATTCTCTGGATGTATTTCGATCCGCTTTTCTCCTAATTCACGGAATACTGCCTAGACGCCGCTGAGCCACACCAGCGATAAAAACTACAGCCTACTGCGTAATGAAAACATAACAATCACAGCTCATCGGTTTTGTGCGCTTTCATTGACGGCAGCCCACGGTCTGAAAGCAGTGAGGCTGTACCGACCTGAGTGGTTAGTACAGAGCACGCAGATCAATGACTTCCAATGACTAAGCTGACGTTGGCCTTTCCTACAAAAGACGTCAAGTGTTGAAAGTCTTCCTTCACTGGTTAATTTTGTTAAGGAAGAGGAGGATATGGTGTTTTTTAAGATTAGGGCTAAAATGGTAGTGACGGTTTGCAGCTGAGGTCAATCCGGGAAGCAATTGAGATTCAAAATCGGAAATATGGAAGGTCTGCGGGTGTTTAAGCGCCAGTAAGAGGGAATGCGGTGCTGTTAAAAAAGTGCGCGCCTTTGGGGAGTGAAACTTGAGGCGCGCAGAGATAAGGCTTGCAAGGCCTTGTTTTGGCGGCACTCACATTATTTTGTTGGTCAATTTGTGCGTCATTTTTTCAAATTTGGGTACCCTCTTCAGGGAGATAATTATATATACTTGGACAATCTGACCCATTCAAGAAAGTAGGGAAAAAACACGTATGCAAAGGTCCGGGGCATTGGACTCGGAGGGCGCGCCACTGGGAAATTTCATGATTTTGGGGCGCCAGATGCATGTCGACGCGTCCAATGCACTGGCGGTGACGACCCCATCGCCAGGAACAGCTTCCAGCTGCTTCTTAGCAGGTGCTTGGTGTTGGTGACAGCTTGAGTTTTAGTCTCCGGTGAAGGTTTTGGTGTGAGCGTCGGTCTTATTTGCTCTGATCAGTTGCTGCTATTAGGCTCCGGTCCAACCCGCGTGAAGAGAGATAGTTGCCGACAACAGTGACCCCGCTTGCAATAGATCGAGGTCAATTCCATTATGGACTCTTCTCAATTTCATAAATCTCATAGATAAATACGCGACTATACTAAATTTACCACTGCTAAGAAAATCTCACCAGATATATAGATTATTAGATTGGTAGGATTTAAATTCAGGGAAAGGCCTGCCTTGAACCGTTACCTACCAGGTCTTCAGACGAATCAAAATTGACATTCGTCTTTTCTAGGTTGGCACTAGAAGCGGCGTGCCGGTCTGACATGGAATCACGTTGCAGGTGGCGCGTCTGGTTGATGCATTTTACGATGCCGCTCGGCTTCCGGATCACAGAATAAGGACTGGGCTCGAGCCTAACACAAGCTCCGAGTGAGAGCCCGGAGAGCAGCCCCGCGGGGTCTCAGTCTCAAGGAAAGACTGGTTACAGCCTTGCCGCTCGGCGGCTGCAATCCAGCTTGATGCGCCGAAATTTAGGCTCACCTGGCCATCGGCATGGTGGGAACCCGGCCAGCGAGCCCAGTCAGATGCGACAATTCGCCAGCCGAGCTTCCAATCCATCGGCGTGCATTCTGGTGGCCCGGCTCATCCAGTGCTCTGTGACCTTGACACGGATATTTACAGCAGAGGGGTTTCCAATTATGTACATCGGAAGAACCTCGGCGCAACAAAATTGTACCTTGGCGCCCGACGGTTCCTCCGGTCCAACTGGGAACCGACCAGGCGGCCGGCCAACCTCCACTCAAGTGTAGTAAGCTAGCCCATCACATTTATACATACGGCCATCATTGAGCTGCTTCGCCTTCCTACGCAGAGAAGCATATTGGAGGTCGCCATTGACACTTGGAAACAAGTTTACCAAAGACATATCTTCGGTACACAATATCCTAGTAAGAACTAGGGCGGATCCGGCATAAGAAGACAAAATTGAGATGAAGAGCTGTTGAAATCTATGTATACAAGTCTATGGATGTTTCTTTTACTTGTCAATGACCTACAACACTGTAGAAAAAAAGAAAAGGAGAAAAAAAAAAGAGAAATAGAGAGAGCGAGAGCGAGAAAACAACGACGGAGAATTCCAATGGGAAGAGAACAAAAGATTAATCTTCCAAAAGAATACATAAAAAGAACACGTTGTATATAACAAAGAGGATAAAGAAGCGCCTTTTTTGTCTTGACCCTTCTGTCCAGAGAAACAAAAATAAAGAAACTGGGGGGGGGGGGGGCAAGAATGATTAATAACCGAAGACTAGAAGGATCATAAAGCCGATAGTCAAGATGATCGAAAACCCGAAAAAGCTCGAAAGCAGTCCGAATTTGAGGAAATCTTTCGAGCTCAAATAGCGAGTCCCAAACTCGTCTTCCAAGTTAACCGCAGTCCTACACAAATACAAAACAAAAAATGAACGGGTTAGAGAGAATTTGAATTGAGCAGACCATATTGAATGATCATCAGAGAGGGCTTAACTGGTTAGGAAAGGAAGAGACGGGCAAGCCCATGCCAGTAGAACAAATAAAAGTAGTCAAGAAGATCAACAATCGCGCATGATTGACCTCCATAGAGTTCCCGATTTCGAATGCAATGGGGATCAACAAGACGCTCGCGACGGTGTGGCTGATGAAGGTCGAGATGATCAAGACCAGGAACCCAAAGAGGATGGTGATCGGCCAGAGACTTAAGCCTTTCAAACCCCGCTCGATCAGCACGTCCATGTCGTCTAGTAAGCCTGACGACAACACCGATTTTCCTAGCGCAATTCCACTCATCGCTAAAAAGACTATTGACCATGGCTGGTGTTTCCCAATCATCAGCTATCACTTCCTTTTGAAGTTTTCGAACAACAATCGTCAATGAAAACTTACGAAATTGTCGAAATCCGATTTGCGCAATAGACCAGACCCAAAAAAGATGATCATGGGAAGCAAAGCAATGACGCCCATATCACCGAAGTAACCATGGAAGAGATTTTCGAAGCACCAGAGGAGGATGGTGAGGAAGGAGACGAGCAAGATGAACCATTGGGAAAGGGAGAAAGAGTCCTTAGGATTAGGGATCGGTTTGATGTACAGGATGGGTTCATTATTCTTAGAGCGAGGGGCGAGAAGGTGCAATTCAGGATCTTCTTCCTCCAAATCAAATGTCCCTTTCGAGTAACTAAATTCACGCTCATACGACCATGTTAGGATGGCCCAGGTGGTAATAATCGTCAAGGCAGAGATCGGGATCCCGATCGAAAACCAGACTATCCAGGACGGTGGCGGGCTCATGTATGAAAGCGCAATCAGATTTTGCGGGGAGGCGATTGGAGAGGCTTGCCCGCCGATGTCCGCCGCCAATGCAATACCCAAGATGAGAGATCTTGTGTATGGTGATCGAGTTGGAATTGTTCTTAATATAGGCTAATCCCCCGCATCACAGTAACAGCAGAAAAGAAGAAGAAAGACCAAGTTCAACATCAACTTTTGAACGAATGTAATCTGTTGCCAAATCAAGAAGGAAAGCCCTTACATACCTGAGCAAGAGAATAACTGAGAACTGGGGCTGCAACATTACTGATCCACATGGAAGCAAAGCAGGTGACAGCCATATACGCAAACAAGACGGCCCTGGGTTTGGTGCCAGCAAGACTAAGCAATTTAGCTGCCATGACTTTATCGATATTGTGTTTGGAGAGGACGGCGGCCAAAGTGAAAGCGCCGAGCAAGAGGACGATGGTCGGATTGAACATCTGCCCGATCACGAAGACGGCCGCATGGCTCGAATCCATCCGCTCATTGTCCCGAGTCTTGTCTCTAATCACCCGCAACACAATCACTAATAGAGGCACAAACATCCCTGTCACAAATAACGGGAGCGCTTCTGAGGTCCATAAAACCACCACAAACACCAACATCGCCAGACAGTTCCGCTCGGGTTCCGATTTGAAATTGGAATATTTCATGCTCAGGATGAACCCGCACGTAGCTACTAGACACCAGAATACGGACGGGTTGAACAGAATCTTGGTCCAGAATTCTAACTTGAACAAGTTCTTGAATGCCTCTTGAAAGCCCATAGGTTTCGGCGGGATGGCGGTCAAGGCTTGGGTAGGATCAAGACTACCAGTATTAGTTCTCGCAAACGGCTTGTCGATCACTGTCCTGCTCGAATTCGCCCATCCCTTACGCTCCATTCCAATCATATCCCTCCAGATCGTATTACGTTCCCAGACCACTTGTTCTCTGAGATGGGCGTTCAACTGTTTTCGGGCCATCTCTTCATCCCCTTGAGTGATCAGACGAGCATAGATCGGGAACAATGAGTCCAGATGGGCTTGTAGTTGAGAGATCGTGGTAGGATTGAATGCTTTCGATTGATGGAGTAAACATTCCTCCAAGAAGTGAGACGAGAGTGAGCTTCCGAAAACCTTGTCATACTTTTTGAGGATCTTTCGGAACGCGGTAAAGTTCAAATCGATGTAAGTTTTCAACGAGTTCAAGTTGACAAACAATTGGGTGATTCGTCTCTTGAAGAACACCCGAGAATCATGGATGAATTCGACGTTGGACATCCAAAACTCGGATAAGTTTGGAGCAGGGACGTTCTGCGAGGGGCGTCTGTGAGCGGTTTGAGAGCCAAGAGACAAGCTTCTAGAGGTTTTTGGCGAGTGAGGGAGCCATTTGGAGATAGCGGAGCGATGTTGAGATGTGTCAGCTTGGATGGCACGAGTGCTGACGTCAAGGGATAGAGATGCACGGGGTGCAAATTGAGGAGCTAAAGGGGAAGTCGGCGACGTGGGTTTGGTGACTGTGACAGAGGTAGACGGATTCACATCGATCAGATGCGCATTCTGATTCTTCGTGACCCGGTGCGGAGTCGGATTCTTCGATGAGCCCCGCGAGCGACTTAACGAGGTGGAGCGAGTCGGCCGACTAGCTTTGGAAGAGAAACCGAGGATGGGTAAGATTCCGAAGATTGAGGCCGATTTCAACAACTGTTGTCGCTTGGTTGAGGGCGAGACACGACGGGGCTGATTCGATGTTCCTTCCTCGCCTCGGCCGTTATCTTCCTCCTCCTCGTCATCCTCATCGTCGTCCTCATCATCGATGGCCTCGTCAGTCGACCGAGCTGATTGATTGAAGCTGTCTTGGATCAGTTGCATGCCTTGCTTCTCGATCGTCTCGATCTCGTTGATCAGCCCGTTGAGTTCATCAAACAGTTCTTGTTGTTTTGACTGGTAAAACTCTTCGACTTTTGCGAGTTCTTGGGATAATAATTCGAGGAAGATCCGATCAGAAGGGGTGAGATTGAGAGGATTGGGTTGGAGTTCGATGATTGAGGTAGCTTGTTCGGGTGATCCGTCGTGGTTCTGTAGTAAGCCAGTTGACTCGTTATTCTCGTGATCTTGTAATTCGTTGTTAGAAGAATCAGATTGAGCTGGTTCACGTCGGGATGGATGTGAGGAGGGTTGGCTTGAGAGTCGGAGGCTTGATTGGTGGGATGATGCTTGATCCTTTTCGATTTTATAGATCGTTGCTTTCAATGAATCGTAAGAGACGTAATAGGATTGCCATTCAGGAACCGTAGAAAACAACAAGGAATGTGAAAACTAAAAACAAGTACATAGCCAGCCGTGTCAATCATTTAGTTACGGCTTTGAGGTAGGCTTGGATCAAGTGACAGTACCTTCATGATGGGCTTCTGAGTTTACTACAACTATTCTGAGAGACCCCGACCGGGAAGACTAACGGATACTTGATTTAGAAAGACCTGCTGATAATTGGTATGGAATCATTTCAAGAAGTCAGTATTCTAAGTTCTGGGTGTCTGCGCAGACGACAATAAAGGAGAAATCTTTGGGACGTACCTAGTGATGAGGAACAGAAACAAGTTCAAATCGACAGAGTGTGGTACATACGTAACTTTCCATGTAAGTAGCCCTTGCGCCAGTTCCAGCAGAAAAACGACGACGAGAAGTCAATATCGAAATATTGAGAAGATGATGGAGGAGAGGGAAGATGGGATATACCCGCATCGGCTATTCAGCACCCCCCGGGGGTCGGGTGAGACTGGGAGAGAGCACGCTGTGTGTACCACCCCAGGGCACTCACTTGCAGTGCAGCCACTCTTTTTTTTTTTTTTTTTTTTTTTTTTTTAAGTGCTAATTGATTTCACATTGCGCACTAAGAGAAATACATTTTGTAAGAATACATGCGATGACGTTTTTGAACATTATATAAGAGAAAACTATTAAGAATTTTGTAATTATAACAGTTTTTTATTCTTCTGAATTGAATGCTGAGTTATTTTGACTGGCGAAATGATGATTTAAGAGAAAAGCAAAAGAAATTGAGAAGAGAAAATGAGAAAAAAGAAAATTCGACTCTTTTTATCGGGTCTGAAAATAGGGAAGGCCGAACGAATCCGACTTTCGAATACTCTGTTGACTAGGCAGAGTATCTTGTGGTGACCCAAACCACAAGCCCTAGATGATTGAGCGGGAAAAAGCCGAATCCATTCGACTAACTCTTGTATCCAGCCTAATAGCCCTACCGATTTTTTTTTTTTTTAAATTTTTAACCCAAAGGAAATGATAACTGTAAATCTGAGAAATGATGACTTTTAACCAAAGAAAGTGATGACTTTTGACCAAAGAAAGTGATGACTTTTGACCAAAGAAAGTGATGACTTTTAACCAAAGAAAATGATAATTGGAAAATAAAAGATGAGTTTTTTTTTATTTAATTTTCTTCTTTTTCGAGATATTGTTTGAGATTTTTGAATCTATGAGTGTTAAGGATAAAGTTGGAGAGAAGTTTGAAGCATTTAGGTGAATCGAGAAGACTTTTGATACAATTGACGTTGATTTTGATTTTGTGTGATGTAAGCGATTGTCTGAAGAATTTTCTTTGAGTTGAATTTAGGACAGTAAATCATGTAGTGTTTGACGTCTTCAGGAGTGTCGCAGAGATCGCAATTTGGAGAATCAAGTTTTTTGATAAAGAAAAGGTAGTTATTGAGTGGACAATGACCCGACCGCAGTTGATAGATAATGGAACCGGCACTTCTTTCAAGTTGATCGAGTTGTTCAAAAATTTTAAGCGGAGGGAAAGATAGACGGATTTCATTTCTGATAATAGATTTCTTTGTTTTGTTAAATTTGAAGAAGGAACGAGCTAGTTGTTAAGTGTTAGATAGCGATTGTATTTGATTCTGTAGATGGTGTGGATGACTAGAGAGAGTGGCGGCTTTGGCGAGTTTGTCTACCGTTTTGTTTTCTGGCCGACATGTGCGGGACACCAGAATAAGGCAATAGGAATGTGACATAAATTGAGAATGATTTTGAATTTTTTGAAAATGTTCAAGAAAGTAGATTGATATGACTTAGGAAGGGGAGGATTGGCGATGGAGAATAGAGTGGATTGATTATCACAGAAAATATTGATAGGAGCGATGTTGGAGGAGACATTGGAAGGGGAATTTAAGAATTTTTTGATGAAGATTTCAAGACCGATGTTGATGGCTTGCACTTCTGCTTCAAAGGCGGACAATTTCTGTGAGTCGCTAATTCAACAGGAAAATTCGGTGGTGTTGTCCAAAAGAGCAGCCGAAGCGGAGCCGATTTCAGGAATGTTGGAGCCGTCGGTGAATATAAGATGTTCAGATTTGGATTTGAGATTGTCGATTTGGAGTTGAACCTTAGACTTGATTTCTTCTTTTTTGGTTTTTAGATTTGAAATTGAAAGTGAGAAATCTTCCCAAGGATCGATGATGTGGGGATAGATGGTTTCGATGGATGAGAGGTTGTAGTTGGAGATGAGGTGTTTATCGAGGATGTTGTGAATTGGGGAGGGATGAGTAGAGGGAAAAGTAGAAATTTCTGAATCGATAAGGCGTTTGATTGGATGAGAAGGTGGAGCTGTACTTTTTTTTATAATATATAGATGATTTTTTCTTTTTAGGACTTCAAAGAAGGGGATTAGAGGAGTATCTCTTTGGAGAAAAGCACAAGGAGTGGTTTTAAACACTCCGAGGATGATGCGATTAGCCAGATTATCAATTTTTTTGAACAGATTGTTGATGGTCGAATTTTTCCTTTCAGTAGCCCAGATGGCGCTGCCATATAGGACTCTAGAGCGAAGAACACTGATAATCAGGTTCTTAGATTGGTGGAAGCCAATTCCAAAGGAACAACGAGAGATGCGGATGAGTTGGGAGGCTGTTTGGTCACCACATTTTTTGACTTTTTTAATGTGGTCGGTGAACAGAAGTTTTGAATCAAAAATGATTCCTAAGTATTTTACAGAATGGGAAGCAGGGAGAGAAATGTCGCCAAATTTGAAGGGGCGGACGTCGACAAGGTTGTGAGTGAAGATCATGAAATTGGCTTTTTTCCTGTCGAAAATAGCATTATGGTTGCGACCCCAAGAGAGTGATCTACGACCTTCTTCTTCAAGCTTCCTGATAGAAGTCTCAAGATACTTTTCAGCAACAAGGTGGGTTACATCGTCAATGAAACCCAATGATAATGAATCTTGGTTTAAATCCAGTGGACAGTCGATTAGAAGGGATGAGTTATAAATGATGTATAAGATCGGGGATAAAGGAGAGCCTTGCGGTAATCCGCACTTCAAAGGGAATGATGAAGACAGATAGTCTTCCGTTTTCAAAGAAGTAGATCGGTCGGAAAGAAAGTTGGAAATAATGGAAAGGAAGTAGGGTGGAGCGTTTTTGATTTTTAGATGGTTGAGGAGTCGTTCTTTGATAACAGTCGGGAATGCTGATTTGACATCAAGGAAGAGGGCGGATACAATTTTCTTTTCTCGCCATTTTTGGCGAATCCAAGAGGTAAGGAACAAGTTTGCATCATTGGTGCTACGGCCTGCTCTACCGCCAAAGTGGCCGTCGGCAAGAACATTATTGTTTTCTGCCCAAAAGGTGATTCTTTTGGTCAGGATACTTTCAAAAAATTTTCCTAAACACGATAGTAGTGCAATGGGGCGATAAGAGCCCGGCAAAGAATATGAATATTTGTCAGTTTTACGGATGATAGCGGTGGTGGCATGATGCCAAAAAAGAGGAAAATAACCAATTTTTAGACACGATGAAAAAAGATTAATGAGTGGAATGATCAAGGGTTTCTTACCCCAAATAATGAATTCGTTAGCTATGTCATCATGACCGCGCGATTTCTTTTTAGGAAGGTTGGAAATGATCTTGTCAATTTCAAAACCAGAGATAGGGGGAAATAAAAACGGAGGAGAAAGGGTAGATGGTGTGATGTCCAAGAGGGAGCAGTCGATGGGTGCGTCGGAGGTTCCTTTGAAGAGGAGGGAAGCTTGTTCCTCTTTGTTGGAAGTGAGGATATTTTGGTTGTTGATCAGAGGCGCGACGTTTCCGCTGCTGTCGGTTTGGTATATTTATAGGCTTTGAAAAGTTGAAAGTCATTGCATTCCGCAAGAAACTTTCTCCAATGATTTCTTTTTAGTTCAAAAACCTTTTCTTTGAATATTGCTTGCCATTGATTGAAGCAATTGCAAGAGTTGACAGATTTGGATAGTAACATCCACTTTCTAGCTCGGTTTCTTTTTTCTGCAATGGGAGAGAGGATCTTACTATCCCACCAAGGTTTTATTTTTTTATTATTGTTTTTAACAAGTCTTTTTTGGGAGTCGATGGAGTTTTGAAAAGAGATAGTTAGTTTTTCTACCATGATGTCAATATCATGAGAATTGTTCAATGGAAGTGAGGAAATATTTTTAAGACATTTTGACAGATCAGAACAGAATGTTTCAGAGTCGATTTTTTCAAGATCACAGGTTAAGCGGTCATTGATTTGAATGTTGGACTGGAAGTTGAGTTTGAGATGGATTGATTGGTGATCTGATCCATGATTGAGGGAGGAGGTTGAGCAGGAATGAATGAGCTTTTGGGAGATGAAATTAGCCCAAGTCAAATCGATTGTTGTGGCGCTTGATCATTTGGTCAGAAAGGTAGGTATGCCTTTTTGGGAGATGATTTTGAAGCCGCTTCGACCACAGATTTTGATGAGGAATTTGGATTCATTGTGGGAGTGAGGATAGTTGGAAGGGTTCCAGAGCTTATTGTGGAGATTTGAGTCGATGAAGATGAATGATGGGATTTTCCGATCATTGAAGTTGATTAACCAAGAGTCGAGTTCAGGGAGGGCTTCAAAATTTCTGGGAGGATTGTATACATTGATGAGTCGGATTTTTGGGATGTTGTTGATGTTGATGTCAATGTCGACAGCTGATAAGATGTGAGAGCCTTCTGGAAGAGGATGAATTCGGTCCGAGCTATATTTTTTATTAATCAGAAAACAACATTGATGTTTGTTTTGATAAGAAGAGGTGGAATGATTGTGGTCGAGAAGACAGCGCCAGTTGGAATGGAACGGGAGATTAAAGGAGTGAGGATTTATCCAAGGTTCTTGGAGGATTAAAACTGAAGATTCCACTTCAGTGTTAAGGACACTGAAGGTGACATCGAATGAGTTATGGCAATTGAGCTGTAAGATTTTAAACAGTGGTTCTGAGGATTCTGATGAAGATGGCAAAGGAGAAGAAGGGGGTGAAGGAGGAGAGAAAGGAAAGTCTGAATTTGGGTTGTTTTCGGTGTACCTATACATGATTTAAGATATTTTTGCGGAGAGATTTAGATTTTAAGGGACACTTAATACTGGTAGGAGAGTGGCGGAATCGGATGTTATCTTCATCCACTTCAGTGGGAAGATCTAAACTTTTTTCAAATTGGATGCATTTGACACACGAGTCTTTATTGTCATCGGAGGTACAATCTCTAGAATTGTGGTTATCACCACAGAGTTTACACATTGGAGGATTTTTGCAGAGTTGGGCGGTGTGGCCAACTTCAAGGCATTGGAAGCATTGTAAGGGAGATTTCTTATAATGAGCACCTCTCAGGAATAAGAATTTATAGAAAAGACCACCTTTTTCAACTTTTTGAGCA